AATTCATAAAATATGTAATTCGTGTAGTGGTATGGGCAGTGTCGGCGGTGGACAAGAGTTTGTCTGGAGAATGGACAAAATACTTCTTGAATAATTTTGCTAATATCATCTATACAGCTTATTTATCTATCACAGTTTATCTAATATGACATAACAAACAATATAAATAACATAGAAACCTGATATATACTCCAGAATGAATAAAATACAGTGGACTCCCGCCTTACGAATGCATCGCCTTACGTTAAATCCGCCATATGAAGCATTTGAACGCAAAAATTTTGCCTCGCCTTACGTGATTTGTCCAGGACGCGTCCCACGTGTGGCCTCAGCGCCAGTGTTTACAAGCCAGCCAGTGCGGTCGCATCTACGTATACATTTGGTACATTTCACATCATCCCAGTGTTTTTAGTGCTTGTAACTGCAAAATAAGTCACCATGGACCCCAAGAAAGCTTCTAGTGCCATCCCTGTGGTAAAAAGGGCGAGAATTAGTATGGAATTGAAAAAAGAGATTAAGGAAATGTGTGCAAAGTGGGTTGAACTGCAAACCTTTACGGATGAAAATCACCCTGACACAGCTACTGCAAGCCGTGTTGGCAACCTGTACAATGACAATGTTATGGCCCATTTTAGGAAAGTCTTAAAGGAACGGGAAGTACAGAGCTCTATGGACAAATTTGTTGTGCGACAGAGGTCCAGTGACTCAAGCTGGTCCTAGTGGCATTAAAAGAAGAAGGGAAGTAACCCCGGAAAAGGATGTGCTACCTCAAGTCCTAATGGAAGGGATTCCCCTTCTAAACAATAACAACTTCCACACTCTCCCCTCCTCCCATCCCATCAATCATCACCAGATCTTCAATAAAGGTAAGTGTCATGTATTCTGTTCTTAGTAGAGTAGTAATTGTGGATGTCTTCTTCAGTTTGTGTGTATTAAAATTAATATTTCATGTGGTCAAAAAATTTTTTTTTTCATACTTTGGGGTGTCTGGCACGGATTAATTTGATTTCTATTATTTCTTAATGGGAAAATTAATTCGCCTTACGATAATTTCGGCTTAGGATGAGCTCTCAGGAACGGATTAATATCATAAGGCAGGGGTCCACTGTATGTCATTATATATGGGACGCGTCGGCGGCCTACGAGAGTTTGTCTGGAGACAGGACAAAATACTCCTTGAATATTTCGCCATCATCAACTCTACGCCTTATTTATCTATCACAGTTCATCTAATATGAAATAATAAACAATATAAATAACATAGAAACCTGACATATACTCTAGAATGAATAAAATATGTCATTATGTAACAGGTGGAGGCGGCCACAACCACTCCCTCTTTGTTGTGGTAAACACTGCCATCTAATGATGGGCTTTAGAAGCCGTCTATTATTATAATTATTATATAGTACATTATTATTATTATTTTTTTTTTTAACAAGTCGGCCGTCTCCCACTGAGGCAGGGTGACCCAAAAAGAAAGAAAATCCCCAAAAAGAAAATACTTTCATCATCATTCAACACTTTCACTTCACTCACACATAATCACTGTTTTTGCACAGGTGCTCAGAACACAACAGTTTAGAAGCATACATGTATAAAGATACACAACATTTCCCTCCAAACTGCTAATATCCAGAACCCCTCCTTTAGAGTGCAGGCATTGTACTTCCTATTTCCAGGACTCATGTCCAGCTATATAAAAATAACCGGTTTCCCTGAATCTCTTCACTAAATATTACCCTGCTCACACTCTAACAGATCATCAGGTCCCAAATACCATTCATCTCCATTCACTATCGAACACGCTCATGCACGCCTGCTATAAGTCCAAGCCCCTCGCCCACAAAACCTCCCTTACCCCTTCCTTCCAACCCTACAGATTTATACGCTCTCCATGTCATTCTACTTTGATCCATTCTCTCTAAATGACCAAACCACCTCAACAACCCCTCTTCAGCCCTCTGATTAATACTTTTATTAGCTCCACACCTTCTCCTAATTTCCACACTCCGAATTTTCTGCATAATATTTACACCACACATTGCCCTTAGACAGGACATCTCCACTGCCTCCAACCACCTCCTCGCTGCTGCATTCACAACCTAAGCTTCACACCCATATAAAAGTGTTGGTACTACTATACTTTCATGCATTCCCTTCTTTGCCTCCATAGATAACGTTTTTTGTCTCCACATATACCTCAATGCACCACTCACCTTTTTTCCCTCATCAATTCTTTGATTAACCTCATCCTTCATAAATCCATCCGCTGACACATCAACTCCCAAGTATCTGAAAACATTCACTTCCTCCATACTCCTCCTCCCCAATTTGATATCCAATTTTTCTTTATCTAAATAATTTGATACCCTCATCACCTTACTTTTTTTCTATGTTTACTTTCAACTTTCTACCTTTACACACACTCCCAAACTCATCCACTAACCTTTGCAATTTTTCTTTAGAATCTCCCATAAGCACAGTATCATCAGCAAAAAGCAACTGTGTCAATTCCCATTTTGTATTTGATTCCCCATAATTTAATCCCACCCCTTTCCCGAACACCCCATCTATAAATATATTAAACAACCATGGTGACATTGCACATCCCTGTCTAAGACCTACTTTTACCGGAAAGTAGTCTCCCTCTCTTCTACACACCCTAACCTGAGTCTCACTATATATACGTATATATGTATAAAAATATACAACATATCCCTCCAAATTGCTAATATCCCAAACCCCTCCTTTAAAGTGCAGGCATTGTACATTGTAGCATTTCTTATATAGGTATAATTCAGAGGGCTGAAAGGTTGTTGAGGCAGTTTGGGCATTTTGAGAGGATGAAACAGCACAGAATAAATATGTAAGTGTACAAACTGAGAATGGAAGGAAGGAGAGGTAGGGATCATCCTAGGAAGGGTTGGAGAGAAGGGGAAACAGAGGTTTTGAGTGCTCGGGGCTTGAGCACCCAACAAACTTGTGTGAGCATGTTAGACTGGGGTAAGCAGACAAGTGATTTTCATGGCTTGATGCTATGTTGGAGTGTGAATCAGGTAGCATTCACGAAGGGATTCAGGGAAACCTGGACTTGAGTCCTGGAGATGTTAAGTATAGCGCCTACATTCTGAAGGAGGTATGAAATAAGGATATTGCAGTTCTGAGGGTTATTTGGATTGTAATGTTTGTGCACTACTGGCAAGACAGACAGTGAATAAATGATGGTCAATGTGTTGCCTTGATTTTCAGGCTACCCTAGCTTGGTGGGAGACAGCTTGTGTGTTAAACAATCATTATTACATTGTATTATTATTTTTAACACACCAGCCATCTCCCACCAAGGTAGGGTGACCCAAAAATGAAGAAACACTTTCACAATCAATCACTCCATTACTGTCTTGGTAGAGGCATGCCAATACTACAGTTGTAATTTCCCTCCAAACCACAATATTCCTACCCCTCCTTCAGAATGATAGCACAGTACTTCCCAGCTCCAGGACTCAAGCTGAGCTAACTGGTTTCCCTGAATCCCTTTATAAGTGTTACCTTGCTCATATTCCAACAGCACACATGCTCACACATTATTATTAAGTTCATAAGGAAATGCTAAACCCATAAGAATCATACAGTGCCTAGATCAAGAGCCCTTCACCAGAATCAGGTCATTCTTTTTCCCCCCTTGAGGAGTGGTCCTAGGACCACTCCTCTTTCTCATCTACATCAATGACCTACCGAATGCATCACAGCTACTCAAACCCATATTATTTGCAAATGACACTACATACATCTTCTCACACCCAAACCCAGCCATACTCACCAACAGTGTCAATGCTGAATTGCAAAAAATATCTACCTGGATGATGACGATTAAACTTACCCTAAATACTGACAAAACCTATTTCATTCAGTTTGGAACCAGAGCTGCAAATGTTCCACTTAACATAACACTAAATGGATCACCCATCACAAGACTCACAGAGGGAAAATTCCTAGGAATCCACCTAGACAGTAGCCTCAAATTCCAGACACACACAACAAATATCCAAGAAAATCTCTAAGACAGTAGGCATACTATCAAAGATACAATACTTTGTTCTACAATCAGCTCTCCTTGCACTGTATCACTCACTCATTTACCCTTATCTCACATATGGAATTTGTGCATGGGGGTCAACAACATCAAATCACCTAAGGCCACTAATAACCCAGTAAAAGACTGCTATCAGAATGATAACAAATTTCCACTCGTGACAGCATACTCCACCTCTATTCAAAAGTCTAAAGTTGCTCATCATAAAGAACATCCACACTTATTCATGTGCTTACTACATACATAGAACAATACATGCAAACATAAACCCTCCACTCAAACTTCTCACCAACTTTAACAGGACACACGACCATAACACAAGACACAGATCTCTGTTTGATGTACCCCATGTCCATATCACACTGTGTAAAAACTTGATGCACATAAAGGGCCCCAAAATCTGGAATTCATTACCAGAACATACTAAAGTAACCAGGCCTGAAAATCAATTGAAGACTCTTCTAAAAAACCACTTACTCGCCCAGGACTTAATAATCAGCACTCAATATTTAACATTACCAATAATTCTCCCAATTACTTAAATCTTAAAAATTCAAGGCAACATATTGCAAATTGATCATCTTTTGTTAAACATTGTAATGTGACAGATTAGTACAAGTATAATGCTTCATTATCAATAAGTTCAAATTTCATTGTTTCAAATACTCAACTGTACTTCATACTGTAAATTGTTTACTGTAATTTTTAACACTGAACTTTCATTGCTTGTTAATTTTAAGTTAATTTTAAGCCTGCCCATAATGCTCTGCATACAAGGGGCTTTTGGCATGTTCACCCAACTACTATAATTCCTTGTACAACTATGTATCATGTCCAAATAAAATATATGAATGAATATGAATATGTAAACAGAATATAGAGACAAAATATAATGGTGTTTGCATACCTGGAGAAGATCAACAGTTGCTATGGCTATGTCAGTGTTATCATGGCTGAGGAGAGCAAGCAAACTCTTTACCATTCCCAGCTCTACCAACACTGGGTAAAGCTCTGGCACAGTTGCCACTACATGCAACTCTTCTACTGCATCATTCAGATCAATTTCAGACTCCATAAACCTAAAAAAATATTGATAATAAACAATTTGCTTATTTAATAGTGTTAATATAGTATGCCAAGAAATACATATAAATAGTTATAAAAAATTAATCTGAAGAATTAATGAGACAAATAAAAAACCTGTCCATAATAAAAATTTAACATGCTGAATAATTTTTTCTTATGAAGCCGTATGTATACCAAAGGAATACAGAACTTTGATGGGGTCTAAAATGCTGAGTAAATGCATTTAAATATTCAAAATCCTGTGGCTCTCAATATTGCAACACAAAATATAAAACTACATAACCTGTAAAAGTGAGTCAAAATATCCTTTAAGTAATTGGAACATCATATACACATTATACTATATGAAATATATACATATATGACCTAACGAGATGCTGGAGTGTGAGCAGGGTAATATTTTGTGAAGGGATTCAGGGAAACCAGTTAGCTGGCTTGAGTCCTGGAAATGGGAAGTACAATGCCTGCACTTTAAAGGAGGCGTCTGGGATATTGGCAGTTTGGAGGGACTTCTAAACTGTCGTATCTGAGAGCCTCTTCAAAGACAGTGATTATGTATGAGTGATGGTGAAAGTGTTGAATGATGATGAAATTATTTTTCTTTCTTTTAGGTGTTTTCTTTCTTTTTGGGTCACCTTGCCTCAGTGGGAAATGGCCAATGTGTTAAAAAAAAATATATACATATATCCCATTTTGAGCAATTTAGTAAAAATATTGTCAAAAAATGTAAGTACAAAGCTTCTTTACATCATGTTTTTGGTGTATCGGTAATGGAATTTTTTCCCATTACTCCTCCATGTGAATAACCGAGTAGTATATTCACACTATAAAATTGGGAGAAATTTGAAATTGGGTTGGATCCCAATTTCAAAGCACTCTAAGCCCTTCCATGTCTAGGGTGCTGCCATTATTGTGGGGAAAAGACCTAGCATGAATCCTTGGTGTAAACACTTAACCTCTCAATCAGTTTATGGATGCATCCTTTATCATACTCTACCTTACATTTATCTATCTACTCTGTCATTCATTTCATCACCTGTCTCATCTCTCAATACTAACCAAGAAGTTTAACCCTTTCAGGGTCCATGCCATAGATCTATGGTTTTACATTGAGGGTCCAAATCGTAGATCTACGCCATGAGCTCAGCTCACTGATAAGATGTGAGCAGTAAATTTGGGCCTAGATATGAGAGAATACATCTATGTGGTATGTGTGAACCATATAAAACAAATCCTGCAGCACAGTGCATAATGAGAAAAAAAAACCTGAGACCGTAATTTTCGATTAAAACAGCAACTTTGCAGTGTTTTTTCGTATGTTTTTTATAGTTGTATTTGTGATTTCGTGGTCTCATTTGATAGTATGGAAGATATATTACAGAAATAAAGATGCTTTTGATTGGTTTTAGTACTGAAAATTGCTTGAAACTGAGCTCAAAGTAGCAGAAATGTTAATTTTTTGCTGATGTTCAAGAGAAAACAAATGACCCCACACGTCTAATACACACCAGCTGGTGGGTCTAATATACGTTCACAAATGTGCTGATATTATTTATACAATTATTACAATATTGTATAACAGTAAATCTTCTATTTTTTGGTTTGAATAAAAATTCATTATGTGAATTAAAAATCAAAATGGAATTCATTTGTAAAGTCTGAAAACATAACTAATGAACAGAGGAAATGTTAGTTTAGTGCCAAGAATGCCTGCATTGTTTATTCTGGACCCTATTTTGAAATTGGAATATTTTGAATTTTGCACTAAATTGGCAAAATTACCAATTTCCAATCACTTTATTTGGTAGCTGAAACAGTTGAGTTAGCGATTTCTTGTGCTCAATTGATAGAATAGAAGTAATACTAGTGAAATAGCAAATAATTTGGTCGACTGGAATAAGGTAATTGGCCTAAAATGGGAGTCAAAGTCAACAAAATCGCCAATGCGTAAATATCACTGACACATTAAAATTCACGAGAGCATATTTTCCATCAAATTTCGTACTTTTTGTTTTATTACCTTCAGAAAAAGATTCTCTACCATTTCATAAGAAAAATAACAAAATTATTTTTTGAAAATTCTTGGACACTGGTGCACACTTTGAAATTTGGCTTCTGGACCCTGAAAGGGTTAAGCATTAAATTATGCCTGTTCTAAAAAATCTGGGGCTAGAGATATACTTAAAAGTGGTGTAAGTGTGGTGGAGACAGTGAGTGCCTCTAGTATTAGAGAATCAACAATTCATTCAATTTGAGGTAGAGAGAACATAAAAACATATGCAATGAATAATCCAGATTCTAGCATGTTGAAAAGAGAGTCAAAGAGGTCAATACAGCTGAACAAAACAGAAAAGTTTCTGCATTGGTAGTAGCACTTGTAGTGGAAATTGTAATAACATTTCTAGTACCAACATTAGTAGTACTCAAGAAAAAAGAGCAGCTAGATAACACAAGTCCAGTAAGGGGTTCACAAAGAAATATTACATTAACCCTTTGACTGTTTCAGGCCCCTCTCTGAAACTGTCATTCTATGTCGCCAAATATTCAAAAAAAAAAATAAATTATTTTTTCTTATGAAAATGTTAAGATTATTTTTCTGAGTGTTTTAGTCCAAAAAAAAAATTTTGCCATCGGTACTTACTGAGATATAGAGCTGTGAAGTTTGCAGAAAATGAGCCGCGTATGGCAACAGCGGCGACTGCCGCTCACCCGGTAAACTTTAGTTTACTTGTATTTGAAGGTTTTTTGTTTTTTTCACTATTTTATTTTTTCACATAACTTATGTGGCCTATGAGACCAAAGTATGGTGCAATGTATATATATACACTCGTTGTATACAACACAATAAGCACACAAACATAATTATCAATATATTGTTTACAAAACTTGTTTACAAAAACAAACAAACAAACAATCCTCCTCCTCCTCCTTCTCCTCCTCCTTCTCCTCCTTCTTCCTCCTCCTTCTTCTCCTCCTCCTTCTCCTCCTCCTTCTCCTCCTCCTTCTCCTCCTCCTTCTCCTCCTCCTCTCTCCTCCTCCTTCTCCTCCTCCTTCTCCTCCTCCTTCTCCTCCTCCTTCTCCTTCTCCTTCTCCTTCTCCTCCTCCTTGTCTTGTGTGTGAGTGTGTGGCTTATAATTGTTTTGAGTCAGAAGTCGGCAGCTGTCAAAGTGACATATTGTCTCATTAGTCACTGCCCCTACCGTCTGTCAAAACAATGGGGTCGGATGCTGCTTCCCCTCCTCCATTCTATCTAATTATCTTTCTCCCTCATTCTATATCTTTCAATCTGTCTCTCTTTCTATCTGTCTGCCTATCTCTGTCTCACAGGTACACATAAATACAAGTATACATAGTGTAAATTACCTAGGATAACCCAAGAAATCCAGACAAAGTGCTATACTCTGCTTGAAGATGTGAGTAAACGTGATGACACAGTCTTGTGGCTCTCTCTGAGACAGAGAGCTAGATGGACAGACAGGGAGCTTGACAGACAGACAAATAGACAGACAGAAATGTTTGTGTACCAGCAAAAACAAAGGGAGGGCGATGGTCATGTAATATTACCCTCCTTTACCCTCATCAAAGTCAGCTCTTATCAGATGTTATCTCCCCTTATCTTGTCACTGTCATGGGGTGGACTTTTTTTTTTCTTGCTTCAAGGGAACAATATTATTACATCTTCTTCTTCCTCCTCCTCCTCTTCTCCTTCTCCTCCTCCTCCTCCTCCTCCTCCTCCTCCTCCTCCTCCTCCTCTTCCTTCCCTCCTCCTCCTCCTCCTCTTCCTCCCCTCCTCCTCCTCCATTGCTTTTGGTCTCAAACTCCTCCAAATCATGAAATTGATCTTCACTGACACATCCATCTGTGTTAGAGCATCACTTGGGAAGAGAAGAGTCCCAGATTTGCTGGGGAATCACATATTTCTTACCGCTAGACATGCTGAAAAAGGACAACTGAAATGGCATTCCCACAATGCACCACTGGCTCCCCGATTTTTTTTATATGGTGCACACTGACCATGGAGACCCATTCTCTCACATGTGGGCCTACCAGCTTTCTCCTGCTTGATTTGAAGCTGCTAGAATTTATGCGTATAAATACGTCAGAAACATTGGCTCGTAAGACGTATTTATACGTCGGAAACAGTCAAAGGGTTAAACTATAAAGCTCTTATTAATAATAGAGTAAAATATTGAATATTTTAAATTTACCACACTTTACCTGTCTAGACTTAAGTAGTCTTTAACCCCTTCAGGGTCGAGAGGCCCTCTCCTAAACTTGTTCTCAGGGTCGAAAATTTTTTGGAAAAAAAAAAAATTATTTTTTCTCATGAAAAGATAGAGAATCTTTTCCCGATCATAATGACACCAAAAGTATGAAATTTGATGGAAAACTTACAGAACTATGCTCTCACGAAGTTAGCAGTCTCGATGATGTTTACGCATCAGCGATTTCGCCCACTTTGAGCTTTATTTTCAGCCAATTCCAGTGTACTAATCAACAAAAAATCATAAACTATTTTGCTAGAACTCCATTTTTTCTATCGAATGAGTACAAGAAATCAGCCATTTACCAATTTCAACTATCCAATAAAGTGGCCAGAAATTAGCAATTTTGCCAATTTCACAAATTTCAAAAGATGCCAATTTCCAAATAGGGTCCAGAATAAACAACAGACATTCCTGGCACTAAAATAACATTTCCTCTGTTCATTAGTCATGTCCCCAGGCCCCTCTTACATTTCTTTTGCTTTCCACTTTGAATTTTTATTCTCACAAAAAAATAGAAGATTTACTGTTATGCAGACTACTGCATTAGTGTAGAAATGGTATAAATAATATCAGCGCACTTGTGAAAGAATATCAGACTCACCAGTTGACGTGTATTAGACGAGTGGCATGATTTGTTTACTTTTGAACTTTGGCAAAAATCGAACATTTCTGCTATTTTGAGCTCAATTTCAAGGTACTTTTCATTGTGAAACCAATCAACATCA